GCCCGGTTCACAGCATCAGACACACACACACACACACACACACACGTCAGCGTACATCGGTCATCGGTGATGACATGTGCTCCACACGTGACAGTCACTGCCCGGTATGCACACAGTTGGGCATCGTTATGGCAAAAACATTGACGACTTGCTCCGCGCCCATTGGCGTTTGTTTGTCTGCGGGCAAGCGGACGGAATCAACAGTTGGACCACATTCGTCAATAAGACAGAGGAACGCTTCCGTTTAGACACACACACACACAATGTGCTATTTGCCCCCCGGAATTGTCCACGTGTGTCGGGGCACTGCACATACGGGATTGGAGCGTTTCCATTTCTGGGGCACTAACTCCGCGACAAAATGTCCGTAACAGTGTTATAATTCCTCAAGACGTCGCTGGTCGAGGATAATCATTTATTGCCAATAACGGTCAGAATATGGTTAAATTGGCATTCATATAACAAAATATCTCATTTGGAACAAGTTTGCAGAAACAACAACAGGTCTTGTTCATTTTTGGTCGTAGTAGTAGTAGTAATAGTAATAGTAGTAGTAGTATTTGTTGTTGTAGTAGCTCAAAACTTTTCAGAAAGGGGTGGTTGTAAAGGCAAATCAATCCATAGCGTACAAGAGGAGTGAGATAATAGGCGAGTGAATCCTACTTTACGGTTCCGGGGCTTCCTATCGTCTCTATAGACTGATGACTAGAACGCAGGTATGCTCTTGTTTTCCGTTGATTATCTAGTCACTTCGGTGTACATTTAGAAATTGGGAAAAGTTGAGTAGTCTCAGTTTTGATGCTAGCTTACGCTTTTGCTATCGGTGTAGCCTCGTAGCTCAGCTAGTAGAGCATGTGCTGTACAAAACCGTAGGTGGCGTCCATGCAGGGGTTCGAATCCCTAAAGGACTAGCGAGCTTTTCACAATTTTAACATAAGACTTCAATCTACTATACAACCCTTTGAACTTCGGTGTATGTAATCAACACCCTGATCACAGTTTGCAGTCAGTAGATCGAGGAAATTGATTTTATCGGAATAATTAATTAATGATATTAAGTCACACTGCCATATTAAATTAACCGTCACATGTGCTCACCTGATCCACGGATTTCAGCCAATATTTTCGGATCTGTTCAAATGATTTGATATCTGTCACATCATAAACGACCACGAATGCCTGTATAGTAGATCGAAGAAAAGAAGAGAGCGGGAGATGGGAGGACACATTTGAGCTCAGGGTAAAATAGGAAAAAATCAATAAAACAATTGATCAAACCGTGTGGTTGTGGACAAGTTCCAAAAAATGGACCTCCAGTACATAGCTTTGTAAGTTGATAACGCCCGGACTTGTGCACATCTAACGGTGCACATTATTGGGTGAACAGGTCTTAGTGCGCATCGTTTTCAGCATGAACCCCACGATTTCAGATTGTCATCTGAAAGCTGGTGATTTTAAGAGTGACCTTTCAAAATCTTTGAACTGTTACGACATCCTGGTTTTGTTTCGTCGTAAATGAACAGAACAATAACGTATACAACAATGAAAATTCGAAACTGAACACCCTCCCGTTGCGCAATTGACACCGTGTGACGTCAACAATCCCAGTAAATTTCATACACAACTCTACCGGGTGGAATTCACTGAATGTGTATACCGGTGTATGTGCATGTGTGTGTGTTGAGAGAGCTCGCAGACAACTGTACCGGCCTACTACATCGAAAGATAGTGAGAGAGAGAGAGAAGAAACGCTGCTCCCGTTTAAATCAGACCGATCTGGCCCCAGAAACGCGTTGAGACGGTAACAGTCAGCGTGGATGAAAACGGAAACAAAACTCCCATCTTCTTAGAACAAACTACGTTTGTTTTCCACACTCACAGTCACACAGCAGCCGAGGCGGTGTCCTTGGCCCAATGATCGATCAAATGGGGTGCATAAATAACTTCATCCTATTGTTAGTGACCTCTGGCAACCAACGGTGCAATGTGATACCTGAGGCTGTCTCATGTGTGCTTGTGTATGTATGCGCATTCATGGGAGAAAGAGGCAGGGCGGGAGAGAGGAAGCGAATAGGGTAACGCATCCCTTGGTTCGATCTACCGCCTCCTCTGAGGCCCATAAAAGTAGGTTCTGACAGGTTTGTTGTACACCTTTGCGCGTGCGTGTGTGTATGTGTGTGTGTGTGGGCTGTGCACGGGACTAGTTTATACACTATCCATAAGCTTAGCTAAGCAAACCCCGTTACACATTCAGGATGGCTCATACAGTGTAGCGCGCGCGCACACACACACACACGCACATACACACACAAACTCGGAGGTCAGCAGACCAGTGTGAGAAACTCAGCGGAGTACGGTTTGGCTCATGTGAGGTTAGCGAACCGCGTCCGAGGCCGGATCACGCGGGGTTCTCCCTCTTCGTTTTCCACACTCCCACTGTTCCACGATTCCCATCCGAAGAGTAATCCCACCCACTGACAGGCTAGCTGATGTTTCGGTTGGTATCTGTCGGCACGTTCAACAAAGCACACACATTCCCTGTGACCCTGATTTTTACTCCTATGTGTGAACAATAAATTATGCCAGTGATGGGAGTAGAAACTGTATTCTAAATCAATTATACTAAAAATAAATCGAACCGGTGTAGGAGGGAAGAGTATAGCGTAGTCGTTTGCTCTAAGGTCACTGGGAGAATAATTATAAGAATTGAGAAAACGAGTCGGTAAGCGA